GATCTGATCTGATCTGATTGGATCTGATCTAATCTGATTGGATCTGATCTGATCCGATTAGTTATGATTTAATTTAAAATTTTAAATTAATAATTTAATTTGACTTTATAATAACGTTTGAAAATTGTAATCATAATTCATATTATAATATAATCAACATTTTTTATTTAATGATTATTTTTTAATAAAATGAAAATAGTCAATTCATATATTAGAATAATCATTCATATTATAATGTAATAATATTTTTATTTTATGATTTTTTTTTTGTAAAATTAGAATTATGCAATAGAATAAATATTTAATTTAGATATACATTAAAAAATAATTACATTTATAATAATAATAATAATAATAATAATAATAATAATAGTAATAATAATAATAATAATAATAGTAATAATAATAATAGTAATAATAGTAATAATAGTAATAATAGTAATAATAGTAATAATAATAATAATAATAATAATAATAATTCTTGATGGAATCTGATTTTAATAAGTCCTGATCAGATCTGATCTGATCTGATTGGATCTGATCTGATCTGATTAAATCTGATCTGATCTGATTGGATCTGATCTGATCTGATTGGATCTGATCTGATCTGATCTGATCTGATTGGATCTGATCTGATCTGATCTGATCTGATCTGATTTCAATAAGAATAAGAAAAAATAAGTTGAACGGAACGGGGCCTTACCCTACTAATTATTGACATTGCATGTTTATCACATCACACTTTTTTATTTTTAATCTACTCATCATATCATATTTTTACCCATAACATCAAAGTTAGAAATATTTTGTGGGACAAAAAGAATATACTCCCTCCCTCCCTAAATAGAATACAATTTTTTTCTGTCCTCTCGATAACTTTTGTTTGTTTACGCGATTTCATTAATTATTAGATAAAATAAAATATTCTTGTCACCTCTTGTTTTGAAAAACTTTTGACGTAGTTTTTTAATACTCCGTATGTAATTTTTATATCTTATTGATATACTCCCTCTGTCCACCATAGATCTTCCCAAACACTATTCACAGGGTTAAACTTTACTCGTTTTGTTTGCTCATTTTTACTAGTCATTTTATAAAATAATATAGTCTTGTCACATCTAGTTTTGTAGAACTTTTCATGTACTTTATTATTATATAAATTTTATTCTTTAATTTTACTCCTATAATCAATTAAATTTAATTGAAGATAAAGTCGGTCAAGCCTCGTAACGCGTAATGAGAAGATCTTATGTGGACGGAGGGAATACCAATTTGTAAATAAAATGATTTCAAAAAGTAAGAAATTTTTATTCTGTAACGCGCAATTTGTAATCAAATTGGGGACGGAGCGAGTAATAAAATATGGAGACAGCAGGGTCGATGAATGATTAGGACAAGGTAGATGAATGATTAGATTGAAGTGGTGAAAGTGAATGGAGAAAGTGAAAGCCAATAAGCAGGGGCAGAAGTGTTGTTTATACTTTGGACTCCATACTCCCATCATCAAAACTGGGGTTGACCCCAACTTAAATTATATACTCACAGCAAAAATGAATATAATCTCTTGTAATTGAGCTAGTTTTTAGTTTTGTGTTTAATTTTATTGAAGTGATGACTACTCATGCCCTAAGATGAAAAAAATATGATGAAACACAGATGGAGGCCGGAGAATATAATATATATTTAGGACAGTGTAAATAGAAAAGGTGGGTCGGCGCCTTGACCAGACAAGAAGACGTACGTACACTGCTCGCTGCATTCGACGCCGTCGTCGTCGAATTGAACGTCGTCATATATTACTCCCTCCGTCGTCATAAAGCGAATGGGACGGTTTGACTTTTTGGGAAATTAAAGAAGGGATATTTTGGTATTGATTTTCCAAAAATACTCTTGATGTAATGGGTAAAAGTAGGATGTGATGGGTAGATTATTAGGAAAAAGGTATGATGTGGTAGGTAGGGTATGAAAAAGTAAGGGGTAAAAGTGGTTTTTTATTAGAAATGTAACGGACTTTATGGGACGTAGTTTTTTCTAAACGTAACAAACTTTTTTGGGACAGAGAAAGTATATGGTTGTCTTCCATTCAATTCATCGATGGATCATCCCACTGGGCATGGCTTGTTTATATTAGGAATTCCGAATGTTAGCACATTGATATTATTCCCTCCGGGAGGGACTCCACCGCAAAGCATTTCATTATGAGAAAGGTCTATTTGGCGAAGACTGGTGGAGCGCGTGATGGCGGGAGGGATAGGCCCCGTGAGATTGTTACCAGCGAGGCTCACGTATTGCAGTGAAGAGATGTTGGCCAGCCACTCCGGCACCGGACCGGTGAGACTGTTGTCGTCCGCGTGGAACATTTGCAGGGACGCGAGGCGGGAGAGATCGTGGGGTATTTCGCCCGTGAGCTGATTCCCGCTAAGGTCTAATCTCATGAGATTGGTCAAATTGGCGATGGCGGGAGGAATGGTCCCGCTGAGGTTGTTGTAGGAGAGGATCACCTGTTCTAGCGAACGGATGGTGCCCAAGGATTCCGGCACCGGACCGGTGAGGCTGTTGCCGTCCAAGAGCAACTCTTTCAAGGACGTGAGGCGGGAGAGGCCGTCGGGTATTTCCCCCATCAGTGCCCGATAGTCTGCGGTTTGACCGCTCAACCCCAGAGTGACCAGGGTGGGAGGGAGGTCGGAGGGGATGATCCCGGAGAACTTGTTGCCCTCGAGGGAGAGCCGGCGCAAGGCAGGGAAGGTGTCGCCGGTGAGAAATTCGGGTATGGGCCCGGTCAAGTTGCAGCCGGGGGCGGAGAAATGCGTGAGAATCCGAGCAGTCTTGAGACTCTCCGGGATGGTCCACATCACAAGATTAGGGCTGTTGTCCAGGGAAACCACTTGCAACTGGGACAGCTTACGGAACACTTCCAGATCGATATAAGTTAACAGGTTCCCGTCGCCGTGGAGTTCGCGAAGGTGGGTCAGTTCTCCGAGGCCCTCCGTCGTGAGGCCGCCTTTGCCGCTGCAACCCACGATGTCCATCTTCGAAACCCTCCCGCCTTCGTCGCACCAAACCCCCTCCCACTCGCACGTGTAGTTCTTCGATTCCCAATCTTCCCTGAGTGGCGACCCCGCCGGTAACTCAAGACCCGCCTTCAGGTTCTGCATTGCAGCGCCGTCAGGGTACAACCACTGACTACCGTTTCCGTCAGCCGCTCCAACAGTAATAAAAGCCGCTGCCACCGCCGCCGCAAACACGAGGTGGAGGTGCGCCGCCCAGGTTGACCACGCCATGTGTATATATACCAAAGTTTATTTATTTTACAAAACTCTTGCTCCAATTGAATATATATACACACACGCGCGCGCACACACTCTCTCTCGTTCCATCCACCTTTACTAAGAGCATATCATGACAAGACAAAAATGGAATGCCACACTGTGACATGGAATATTTTAGCCAATCAAAAATAGTCCAGTCAGTGTGTGGCAAGTGCATGGAGTGGCAAGTTCTACAATGACAAGTCATTATTTTTTATCATTTTTTTACATTTTTTTTATGTTTTTTAAACATAAAAAATATTTTTATTATTTATTTTATTAAAAAATTATTCTACTTTCTTCTACATTTTTTTCATAAAAAATTTTAAAAAAATTTATTTAAAAAAAAAGAAAAAAGAAGGATGGAGTGCCACACTCATGCCTCACTAAGCAAGACATTTTGGCCTTGTCTACCATGATAAGAGTAGAAAAAGCTGATGTGATAGTGCAAGACATCCATCTTACTTGCCACTATATATGCTCTAAAAAAAGAGAAATTCACATAAATAAGAATAAAACATACCGGAGTAATAACTTTCTCAATATAGGACCATATATTTTTATTTACTAATTTATGACTTTTGGTCATTATGAAGTATTCATTATTCAAGTAAATGTATATCATTACTGGACATTATTCCTCCCACTAGGTCATTATTAAGTCTTATTTAGAGAATAAAAAAGTTCAAATCTTACATTAGGAAAGTTTTTATGTTTTAGTCCTATTTAGTGCAAATTTCACTTAAAAAAATAACCTACTCTTGTTGTTCTATAAAATACGGAGTACTCTCGTTTATTTTTTTTATTTCTAACAAAATATATTTAAAAATACTCTTGTCTCTACTATTTCGTACCTTAACTATCACATCATATTTTTTTCTCTGATAATTTGTTCATCACATTTTATTTTTATTCATCATATCAAAGACAAAATTACAAGTCAATCTATTATTTTACGCTTTTTTATTTCTACACTTAGTCAAACTAAGAACCATTTCTAGAACGGGAGAATATACATTTGACTTTTGATACTTACTCCTAATATTTTAAATTTTAACCAGAAGCTAAAAAAACTAAATTGGCATAGTAGAAAGGAAGTTGCCTAAAAAAATTTCACATCCACTGTTCGAGATACTTAAAAAATTGAGATTATAAATTTGAACAAATTTCTTCATAAAACCTACTCTCTCCGTTTGTAGTTGATTTTCTTATTTTTTTTTCTTAATGTGATATGTAAAAGTAAAATATGATGGATATATTATTATTAAAACTATAATGTGACAGGTTAAGTAAGAAAAAATAGGATGGGGTAAAAGTGGATTTTTAATAAAAAGTGAAAGTGGAAGCATTTTTACCTCACACGTTAATGGTTATTGGGTCAAGCTTCATACTACATTCATCTTAAAGTATTCGTCCAGTTGACTTCTTTGAGTCAAATTGTATGAATTTTGTGGCTCAATTATATAAAAATTATTCCCTCTGTCTCAAATCTCAATTTAAATAGTTTGTTTCAATTTCCGATATTTCACTGAACTTATTTTTAAATCTTTTTATATGAAAACAATGTAGAATTTTTGAAAAAATATATTTTTAAAAACTAAATCAAAGGATCTACAAAACTAGTGATGATATGATCATATAAATTTATAAAATGACTAACGAAAATATAAAAATAAAGTGAATGAAGTTTGATCATATGGATAGTAAATGTGCAATTTAATTAGGGACAAAGAAGTACAATGTTGATTAGTATAAAAATGATTTTATTAGATTTAACTTGTCTAGGATTTTCAAATTTTTATTTCATTGCAAGTATTAATATGCAATACACATTGCGAGTATTTGAACATTAAAGCTCGTCTTGTTTGACTTGAAAAAGTCACGCTGAACACACTTAGGGACAGAGGGAGTATTTCTTTCTTTGTTTTCAATTTTTGTTACTTTGTACCCCCTCGGTTTTTTAAAAGATTTCCTATTTCATTCTTTTCTTTCATCAAAACATTTTTACTTTCTACTAAGAAACTATTTTTACTTATATTTTTTCTTACCAAATCTATCACATCGGTCACACTATTTTATTAATCTATGATCATAATGTATTTTTACACATCACATCAAGGATAAAATTGAAAAGTCAACCATAAATATTTATATTTTTTGTATAAAGTCAAAATATGAATGATTTTCAGAAATAAAGAGAGTATCATTTAGTAAAATAATATGCTCATATCAATTCCTGCTTTTAGAACATCTATTTCGTTTTTAAAAAATATAATTTGAAATTTAAAATATTACGGAGCATATCAAGTAAAAACATTGCTACTCCGTGTACAGTTTGAACTTTAAACTGGACACTACAAATTAAATCTAGAGAAATTTACTTAAATAGAACTAAAACATAATGACTCTTCTAATATAGGACCATATATTTTTATTTCCCAATGTAGGACCTTTAGTCATCATCAAGTAGTCATTATTTAAGTAAATGTACATCGTTACTGGGTATTATTTCTTCCGCTAAGTCATTATTAAGTCCTATTTAGAAAATAAAAAAGTTTAAGTCTTACATTTGGAAAGTCATTATGTTTTAGTCCTATTTAGTGCAAATTTTCCTTAAATCTACAATAATATAATGCTAATTAACGGAGGGGGCAATCCTTAATTGGGGGGTAAAGGTGCTAATTAACTTTGAACAAAATTTAAACCAAGACTAGGGTAAAATACATTTTCCAAAAAGAATGAATATTTAATAATGCACGAAGAAAAAGTCATAAAAGAGATAAGGCATTAAGGCATAGTGCGTAACTGATTGCGTAGAGATCCATAGCATATTTCTCGGTAAAAGAATATTAATGGCCCGTTTGGCAATTATTTTGGTGTTTTAGGAAACATGCTCTCAAACAAGTCCTCCACTCAGGCAAAAAAATAAATAAATAAAAAAATACAAAGAAATTAAAAAAATAATAAAATAAGGCCGAGTGAAATAATCTACTCATATCATTTCTTATTTTTAGAACTCTTATTTAGTTTTTAAACAATAAAATTTGTAATTTAAAATATTATGGAGCATATCATTTAAAAATCATAGATCATGGGTGGAATCAAATTTAGAGCCTGTTCTTTAGGGCTCGAATTCTTAACTTTCAGTTTCTTCCAGTTCCTTCCAGCTTTTTCCAGTTTCTTCCAGCTTTTTCCAGTTTCTTCCAGTTCCTTCTAGTTTTTTCTAGTTCCTTCCAGTTTTTTCTAGTTCCTTCCAGTTCTTCCAGTTCCTTCAAATTTTTTCCAATTTCTTCCAACATTCACCTCTTTTTTTACCATCCAAAAGAAAAGGCCCTTAAAGTATGAACGAATACTTGGACACTACAAATCAAGGATAATGCTAATTAACGGAGGGGGCAATCCTTAATTGCGGGGGTAAAGGTGCTAATTAACTTTGAAAAACTTTTAAATCAAGGCCAGGGTAAAACATTTTCCAAAAAGAATGAATATTGAATAATGCATGATGAAAAAATCATAGAAGATTTAAGTCATAGTGCGTAACTAATTGCGTACCGGAGGAATTAGAGAATAAGAACCGTGAATTTTACAAACGAGATACCGGAGTGTCACAGGTTATTCCATGACATTGTTGAGCCATAAGAACCTTGGTGAAAATTGAATGTCCCTATGAGATCTGATCTGAGTGACTTTTTGAAGGTGCCTTTGTGAATAAGGGGCTGTTTGACAATTTCTGAATAGGTAAGTGCTGAACCAGTAAGAAGTCCGAACCATTAAGTGCTGAACCAGTAAGAGGTCTGAACCATTAAGAGCTAGTATATTGCTTAACTATTCAAAGGCAAATGTCTGATCAATTCTGATAAGAGCTCTTAACCATTCAGACTCTGTATAATACTTAACCATTCAGAAGCAAATCTCTTAACCATTCAGACATCTGAACCATTAAGAGGCTGAAACAAACAGTCTGAACCATTAAGTGCTGAATTATTCAGATATCTGAACCATTAAGAGGCTGAAACAAACAGCCCCTAATTCTTTTTAAGTGTGGTCCGACCCAATTTGTCCACCTAACAATTGTTCAGAGTCTAAATTGTCCACTTAACAATTGTTCAGAGTGTTGAGTGACTCTTTTTAACATTATGTTCAATGCTTACGGTCTTCTAAACCGTATATTATTTCGTTTTACAATAGTTGACGTGTAATTCAATTTATTTTATAATTAGACTTAATTTTTTTAAAAAATAATAACAATAATAACTTTCTTTGATCCCGAACTAGGTTGTGTGAAAGAAGATGTAACATGAATATTATTTTATTAAATTGATAACAAAAATAGAAAACAAAATAAATAAAATTTGACTATATGAATAATAAACATATAAATTAATATTGAACGCATCAATTTTTATGAACATATATTAGTCTTGCATCAATGTTTTTTATTCACTCCTAAAAATTATTTTAAAATTTTACTAAAAACAAATTTAAAACAATGGTAAAATAGTGATCCAAATAATATTAAGATCAACATACTTTTAAAATATAGGAGTACATGTCCAACTGTATATTTTAGTCATTCATAACACATTAGCTTTTTAAATAATCAACTTCCAAATGAAAAAAATTAAGTAGCTAATCACCAACTCTTATGCAAACATCAAATTCTAACATTGTTACAAAACAAGCCCTTAGTATATTAGTAATATTATTAATATTATTATTTATGGTTATTATTATAATAATATGTAGTTTTATTATTTATGGTTGGAGAATAATATTATACTATGTAAATAGTATTTTGGCTTATTAGTTACCTTTTATAATTAAGAATATTAGTTTAATTAGTTGTCTTTTATGTCCAGGATTCTTTACATTTGGAGACTATATATTGTACACATTACCATGGATTATTCAAGAAATAAAGAAAATATTTTCTCCTAAATCCTTCCTTCTCTTGCCTCCCCATTCGGCTACACAAAGTTGCGATCGAGTCCTTCTCCGGTGCACACCACTACTTGGGGGTTGCAGAGTTGTTGTCATTTCGTTGAACGGCTTAAAACTCTCCACGACTCAATGGGGAATTTGCCTTAGTACCGAACAGTGGCTTGCCGCAGAACATCGTCATTATTTGTTCCACTCTTGCGGGATCGAGAGAATTCCTCGTCCCCAACTCAGTGAAGACTTTGTTTTAATTTGCGTAATTCTTGCTTTAGTAGGAATATAAATCTTTTTTTTTTGCTTTATCTTCTTCCTATATAAAGAGGGTTAATCCTTTCTACTGAAACTCGTTGTCCCTAATTTAAAAATTTTAAAGTATCACGTGCAAGGCTCGAAAACAATTATGCTTGCACATGAAGAAGTGTGTTAGAGCATAAATAACTTTTCATGTTTCACAATCATAAGCTTGAACTTTTGGTTGAATTGAATTCTTGAGAGCACTCCTAGTACACTCCCAATTTGTTTTGCCCCATTATTTGGATGTTGTTTCATTAGATCGGAGTTCAATCAAAGTTTTAGTGGAAAATGTAGATAATTAAACTTGTTTGGACATACACACTAGTACTCCCTCCGTCCCAGAGTATTTGTCCACTTTTCATTTTTACACACCATCCAATGCACTTCTTTAATTTATTTTATGTTGTAATTTGTATATTAAAAACTTATAGAAATTATATATTAATAATCTATATGTTAAAACAAATCAAAGAAGATCACACATGACTATATTTAGGCTTACACATTGAGAGAATTTGATGAGTCAAAGTGCTTAGATGAACAGTTTCAAAAGTAAAAAATGGAAGAATATAGCGGGACGGAGGTAGTATATAATTATTCCATCTGTTCCATAAAATTCTTCCCCTTTTGTTTTTTTCAATTCTCTAAAATACTTTCATTTTCTATTAAAAAATCACTTTTATCCCTAGTTTTTCATACTCTACGTATCACATCATACTCTTTCATTAATAATTGAATCATCACATTTTACTTTTAATCATCACATCAGGGCAAAATTAGAAAGTCAACCAAAATTACACTTTCCTTATTTTGGCCCAACTCACAATAAGAAGTGTTCAAAGGAAAGGAGCAAGTAAATAGTAATGGATAATTATTAGATTGAAAAAATGTGTAAAAAAAGCAAAAAAAAATAAGTAAAAAGATGAAAAACTTAGGAAAATTTATCCAAATAGAACCAAAACTTAATGACTTTCTCAATATATGACCATATATTTTTATTTTCTAATGTAAAAGTATTGATTATTTTCATTAATCATTATTTGATTAAGTAAGTATCCATCGTCACAGGATATTATTCTTTCCACTAGACATTATTAAGTCTTATTTAGAAAACAAAAAATTAAACTTTTACATTAAAAAAATGACATACTCCCTCCGTCCCAGAGTATTTGTCCACTTTCATTTTTATACACTATCCAATACACTTATTTAATCCATTTTATCTTGTAAATTGTATATTAAAAAATTATAGAAATTATATATTAATAATCTATATGTTAAGACAAATCAAACAAGATCACACATGACTACATTTAGGCTTACACATTGAGAAAATTTGATGAGTCAGAGTGCTAAGATAAACAGTTCCAAAAGTCAAAAGTGGACGAATAGAGCGGGACGGAGGGAGTATGTTTTAAGGCGAAATAGCGCCGGTACCCCTCGTGGTTTGCAAAACAAGAACTTATACCCCCTCTGTTTCCAAAACTCATTTTTAAAGTCTCTGTGGTTTCAAAATGTTACACTTGTGCCCCTCTGACCATTTTTTAAACCATATGGGGCATCAATCCTGTTTTTTATTTCTTGCATATTTTTTTCTCCACTTTTCCTTTTTTTGTTTCATTTATTAATGAAGGTTTTTTTAAAATTATTTTTATAATGTTTCTTAAAATTTAAAGTTACTTTTGTTAGAAAAGATTAACATAAAATGCATATGTACGTCTCAAATTAACATTTTTTGTTTTTTTCTGAAAAAAAGTAGTAATTTTTTTTGAGAACTTCAAGAAAATGAGGAATAAAATAAGAAAAAAATAATACAAAAATAAAAATGAATATCCTTTTTGGACATATTAATTTTAAGGAGTTTTTTAGGTGTGTCTAAATATTTTTGTATAAGATTTTTTTTACGTATTTTAAATCTATGAAAAGGAAAAAGAGATACCCTAGTATAAAATATTTTTTTAAAATGAAAGAATAATAAACGAAAATAAGAAATGAGCACGAATGCCCCCCATGGTTTAGAAATTATGCGCTAATGCCGCCCCCTGTTCGCCGGAAAATGGCCGGAAATTTATTGGAGGGGAGGTGGTGTGGGTGCAACGTTTTGAAACCACGATGATTTTAAAAATAAGTTTTGAAAATAGAGTGGGTATTAATGCCAATTTTCTAAACCACGGGGCACTAAAGTTATTTGACCTATGTTTTAATCTCCAAATTTGTCAAAAACTTAATACGGTGTATTAAGAGGAATTTACTTAAATAGCACTAAAACATACTACGGAATAATGACTTTTCCTAAATAGTACCACATGTGTTTTTCTTCCCAATGTAACACTTTTAGTCATTATGCATTAGTCATTATTCAAGTAAATATTCGTCATCACTGGAGATTAAGGTCATTATTAAGTACACCCTCTGTCCTTGAGTGTTTGTCTACTTTCATTTTTGCACACCATCCAATGCACTTCTTTAATCCATTTTATCTTGTAATTTGTATATTAAAAATTATAAAAATTATATATTAATAATCTATATGTTAAGACGAATCAAACAAGATCACACATGACTATTTTTAGGCTTACACATTGAGAGAATTTGATGAGTCAAAGCGGTTAGATGAACAGATCCAAAAGTCAAAAGTAGACAAACACTCAGGGACGGACAAAGTATTACTTAGCGAAAAAAGAGTCTAAAGCGTTATTGAGAGAAATGATTAAGTTTTAGTGCATGCAAATATTCCGTTATTTAAACAGAGACGTACACGACTACACGTTTAGAAAGATCTCGAAAATAAAACTACAGAGGAAACTTATTAGGATAGTGCAAAATGGAGCAGGGAACTACAATGAAATGACGACAGCTTTAAAGTGGAAACATGGAACCTCACGTCGTCCTAATCACGGCGGGCATGTTCCAGTTATACCGGCATTTCCCGCTGCGTCGATCACTTCCGTACCGTTGCCGGATTTGCCGCGGTAAACCATGTACGGGACACAGCCGGAGAGCTGATTATAAGAATGGTCGAGCTTGGAAAGATGGGTCAAACGCTTGATGTTCCGAGGAATAGTTCCCGTCAGATTGTTTTCCGCCAAGTTCACATTTTCCAGTGAAGTGAGGTTCACCAATCACCAGTGATTCCGGCACCAGGCCGGTAAGAAGATTATCGTCCATAAAAAGGTCTTTCAAGGACGCGAGGGAAGACAGGTCCGGTATTTCGCTGGTGATTTTGTTAAACGACATCCTCAAAACTTGCAGTGACGATGGGATTTTCTCCGGCACCGGACCGGTAAGATCGTTGCCGTCCAGGTCGAGTTCTTTCAAAGACGTGAAGCGGGACAGGTCGGGTATTTCACCGGACAATTTATGGTCTTGGTATAGTGCCCTCAACGGAGAGTCACCAGAGTTGCCGGAAGCTGGGTAGGGATAGGCCCGGACAAACTATGACCCTAGAGATCAAGAAAGCTTAAGAAGGGGAAGTTTTTCCCGGTGAGAAATCCCGGGAAGGTGCCCTGTAGGTTAGAGTTGGTGGCGGAGAAAGACCGAAGATTCCGAGCCGCCGTGAGACTCTCCGGGATGTTCCATGGCGAAAGTAAAGTGATTTCGTCGAGAGAAACTACCTCCAACTTGGTCAAATTAGCGAAGAGATCAGACGGGAGTGACGTGAACAGGTTGAGTTTAGCGTAGAGCTCACGGAGGTTGGGGAGTGATCCGAGGCCGGCCGCCGTGAGGTTGCCTCCGAGGAGGAAACCCTCGATGTTGACCTTCCAAACCCGGCCGGCGGCGTCGCAAAATGTCCCGTTCCACCGGCAAGGGTTCGTCTTATTCCAACTTTCCAAGCCTTTTAATTTGACGACGTATGATTCCGTCGGGAACACCAGGCTGGCCTTCAGATTCTGCATTGCCGCATTGTCGAGGCACGCCGGGCCATCATCCGCCGCAACAGTAGCAAATACCGCCGCGAGCAGGAGGAGCAGCCAACTTGACGACGCCATAGAAAACATACTCCGTACAACACACCCAAACTTTTTTTAATTTAACAGATTTATACTCTGTGTTCGACTTTGCCACACAATATTATATGGTGGACTATATGTGTGTGTATATATATAAATTAGGGCCAGCGTAATATTCCCTCCGTACCATAAAGTCATTTTCGTTTAAAAAAAATTACGTCTCTTAAAATCATTCTCATTTCTATTAAAAATTAACTTTAACTACCTACTTTTTCACACTCTACGAACTATTACATTATACTTTTTTCTTCATTATCTATACAAAATTATTTCTCTTTAATTTACCACTTTAGTCAAATCATCTCTATCATTATGGGATGGAGGGAGTATTTTTTTTTAAAAAAATGAATATTTAAGCACGAAGAAAAATGACATAAAAAAAGAGAAATTTACTTAAATAGGACTAAAACATAATGACTATTTCAATATAAAACCATATACTTTTATTTTCCAATGTTGGACTTCTGGTCATTATCAATTAGTCATTATTCAACTAAATGTCCAGTATCACTTGAATATTATTTTTCTCATTAGTCATTATTAAGTCCTATTTAGGAAATAAAAAAGCTTAATACCTACTGGTAATAGGGTATACTGCGTAACTGATTGCGTAAAATTGATAGCTCATTTACTTTCTTCGTAAAAAAATATTAACGTCCTGTTTGGCAATTATTTTAGTGTTTTAGAAAACATGCTCTCAAACAAGTCCTCCACTCACGCAAATAACAAAAGTTAAAAATAAAAAATTAAAAAATAAAATAATAAAATAATAAAATGAAAAATAAAGGCGAAGTGTCGAGTGAAATAATATACTCATATCATTTCTTACTTTTAGAACTTTTATTTAGTGACTCATATCCATAAAATTTGTAATTTAAAATATTACGGAGCATATCATTTTAAAATAAAATTAGTTTAAATGGTTCATTTAAAAATCATAAATCATGGGTGGAATCAAATTTGAATTTTGAAGTAGGAACGAAAACTATAAAGTTAAATTGGAAACTAAAAATCTATAATAATGCTAATTAACAGAGGGGCAATCCTTAATTGGGGGTAAAGGTGGTGGTAATTGACTTTGAACAAATTTTAAACCAAGTCTAGGGTAAAAAAGGAATGAATATTCAATGCACGAAGAAAAAAATAAGGCAAAGCGCGTAACGGATTGCCTAGGGATCGATAGCGTATTTTCCTTCTTCAGAAAGAATTTTAAGGGCCAGTTTGGCAACTATTATACGCGAGTAATGTTTAGAAAAAATGCTCTCAGGAAAGCCCTCCATTCACACACAAAAAAACAATTAAAAAATTAAAATTATTTAATACTCTCTCCGTCCCAAAAAGAATGAGACGGTTTGACTTTTTGGAAAATTAAGAGATGGATATTTTGGTTTTGACTTTCCAAAAATACCCTTGATGTGATGGGTAAAAGTAGGATATGATAGATAGATTATTAGGAAAAAAATATGATATGATAGGTAGGTTATGAAAAAGTAAGGGGTAAAAGTGGTTTTTTAATAGAAATGTAACGGACTTTACGGGACGCAGTTTTTTAACTTTTTGGGACGGAGGGAGTATAATATTTGAGAGTTGATAGCCTAGAATTTTGACACGTGGCAAATTTAGACTCCTAATTTGATGACACGTGGGATGACAAGCGTCCGAGAGGAAACGAATTTAGATTCCAGTACCCGTTCTTTCTCTCGCCCAAGTTCTTCGGAAGGAAAGAAATCTTAGCTGATTCCTCGCTGCAAATCTTCACGCTGAAAGGAAACGAATTGTCATTCATCCCTGATTCCTCGCTGCGTTGGATTTCGGATACGCCTTTCCATTCATGGACTGTTGGTTAGCGAAGACTTTACGATCTAAGAAAAGCCCGTCTTCTTCATTCTCCACGCGGAAACCTTCACTACATCAACCCAGCGTTGATTCTCCTCTGAAAATATCATGGATTTTTCGTGTGATCTCTTCGCCAAAGGAAAGGAATTGTATAGCTACTGAAGGAAAGTCTCCAATTTTGTGAAAAGGGGTATTTCGGATCCAAAATTTTCGAAGCGTCAAAACGAGGTATGTCTCCAAAAATCATACGCATCAATTATTCAAGAATCGTGAGGAAGAAATAATACATCGCTGCCAGCTCTTTAATCTTTGTTCTGGAGATCCCAATTATTCCCAATCATATTCCCAAATTTTTGGCTCGATTCTAATCCAAAATTTTTTCTTAAATTCATATATTGATTCTTATTATATTATGAGTTGTATTTATCTAATTGGTTTCAATTAAGGTTTTTGCTGATATCATGAAACTCTTAAAGGAGTGTGTGATGGTGTAGGTTGTTCCTTTTTCAGAGAAAAAACATGTGACCTATGATGGAGCATGATCTATGTATTGAGCAGCCCGTATCATTCTTGAGAGGAATAAATTTTTCTATCCTATCCTGGTGAGATGCTCTAAGTATATGACGACTGTTCAGTCTTTTATATTACTAATATTATTACACTTGAATGCTAAAGCTCACTCCAAGTTTGTTCTATCTTTTTCCTTATCAGATCTTGCAATATGAATGGCATCCCAATTGTGTCATTTGTGTTTCATGGTATTGACTCTGCCAATTGTTTCTACTTGGAGAATGCATGGGTTCTCTTAGCAGTGAGTATGTATTTATCCATTCCAAGTGTAGTTGGTTGTTTCTAATTTTTATGTTTACAAGCTGAATTTATCTCACACAGAGATTGACCACCTTTTGTTTTATCTTTACATAGTATGCAGTTACATTAATCCGGTTACAAAAAATGTTGCAAGAAATAAAAACAGACAAACTACTGCGGGTCTGTTTGAGAATAGCGTTAGCGTTTTGGATAAAATTTTAACGGTGCAGATTATTTTGAAAACGCTAACGCTAAACGCTGACCGTAGATAACCTTTTCAAAACGCTAACGCTAATCGCTAACGATATTCCCAAACAGGCCCTGCATCAACAACCTCTGAAATTTGGCTTTGCATAAATGGAGCATGTTTGAATGTCACTTGTGTCACTCACTACTACTTTATAATCTTCTCTAATATGTCATCTAGAAGCTAAAATGAGAAGAATGTATTAATGCATTAATTAAATCCAGGAGTACATTCTATATATACAGGAGTAAATACATTGTAATTAATGCATTAATACATTCTTCTCAATTTTTATACAGGAGTACTTTCTTCTGAGAATATATTTACTCCTGTCAATGTAATTAATTTGGATTTAATTAATGCATTAATACATTCTTCTCAATGTTTATATAGGAGTACTTTTATAAGGTCTGTTTGGGAAGTTTTACACATTTTGACTAAAGTGAAAATTAAAAGATGGATAATTTTGTGTTGACTTTCCAAAAATAACATTGATTTGATGTGTAAAAGTAGGATTGATATATAGATTATAAGAAAAAAGTTATGATGTGATAGGTAGGGTTTGAAAATGTAAGAGGTAAAAATGCTTTTTTAATAGAAATGGGTGGGAGATTCTGGGACGTAATTTTTTTGAAAGGTGTAAATCTTTTTGGGACGGAAGGAGTATTATTTTTGCGACGGAGAGTAATTTCAGAAAGACCAAATTAGGACTAAAACATTGAAAATATAGCAAAATAGGACTTTCATTTTTTATTCCCGATATAGGACTTACATTACCAAACATGATCATATGCATTACCAAAAAAGTATAGTAATTTGCACATGTACACTGCCACATTACCACAATGCAAAGTCACATTACCGCAGTGTCAAGTCCTATTTTGGGGAAAAAAAACATGAAAGTCCTATTTTGATACTTTTTTCTCTATGTTTTAGTTCTATTTAGGATGATTTCTATAATTTCTATTTACAAAAAAGCATCAATTTTTTTATTCACTCCCAGCACTTATTTTAAAATTTTTCTAACTTAAAAAAAATATATTAAAACAATGGTAAAAAGTGGCCGAAATGATATTAAAATCAATAAACTTTTAAAATATAAGAGTACATGTCCAATTGGATATTTCGTTGATGCAAACAACTTATAATTAGGTAAATAGTATAAGTAGTTTTAATATTTATGGTTAGAGAATATACTAGGCCCTTAGTATCTTTAGTATTATTATTATTATGGAAATTATATGGTTATTATTGTTATAAATAATTTTATAATTTATGGTTAGAGAATATTATTATATTAGGTTTGAAGCTCTAGACCCAAAACTAAAATGATCATTCTTCTCTCAATTATTACTCTTCTTGGTAGAACCTAAAATCAAAATAAATAACCTTTATAGATGAGTTTTATCTGTTAGTCCCAATAAATTGCAAAAAAAAAAATAAACATTAAACTCATCCATGAAGTTATTGGTTTCGAATTTGGATTCTACTAGTTAGACAAACAATTGAGAAAAGAGTGATAATTTCAGTTTTGAGTTTAAAGCTTCAAACTCAACTACAGGTTTGGGAAATGTGTCCGAGAGGAGGAATGAAGCTTAATTGAGGAGGGGTAAAGGAGCAAAATAGGAGTAAAACATTGATTAAATTCCAAAATAGAAGTTAAAAGATAAAACCCCTAAAATAGGAGTACCCTCTTCTCCACTCAATTTATCATGCCATGCTCAATTGTGTCATGCCAATGCTGCTCAACCATACAAAATTTCCATCAATGGCTGCTCAATTGTGCCATGCCGCCGTCGGCAACGCCAACACCCCAACCGCTGCCACGCCCCTACCGCCGCTGATATTGCGCCTTTACCACTGCTAACACAATGCCTCTACCATCATTGATGTCGGTCCCTTTATTCTCCGTCATTGCCACCATCAGCCGCTTCAAACTACACCAATTGAATTTTTCAGCTGCCGTTGTGCCCTGCTCCACCGTATATGGTTTTTATTTTTAATTAGCTTTCAAATGCTTTATAAATGAGACTGCATCGTAGAAGTAAGAAATACTTCTAACTACTCCCTCCGTCCCGCTATATTTGTCCACTTTTGACTTTTGAAACTGTTCATCTAAGCACTTTGACTCATCAAATTCTTTCAATATGTAAGCCTAAATATAGTCATTTGTGATTTTGTTTGATTTGTGTTAACATATAGAATATTAATATATAGTTTCTATAATTTTTTAATATACAAATTACAAGATAAAATGGATTAAAGAAGTGTATTGGATGGTGTATAAAATTAAAGTGGACAAATACTCTGGGACAGAGGTAGTAATTGCATTTTTGCATTCATCTTTTTTTCTATGAAAAAATGCATCTTCATTAGACATTAATTTTGGGTTGGTTTTTTCTTTTTCATTTTTGTATTGGATTGTTTTTTTTTAAATTTTTTTGTTTGGTTATTTTTCAATTAGTAATGTTTAAATTTTGCTCCCAATTTTAGCAAAATTTAGTGATAGTGATAAGAAACTTGACATTCTATGTTGGCAATCTTGACATTTCACTTTCTTTTTTACATTTTATATTAACATGTTTGTCATTACGCAATAACATGTTTGGCATTATGCAATGACATGATTGTCAGTATGCATTATAATCTTTGACATTGTGACTTTGGTTGACATGATATTGAAAGTTTTTCCCTTGGCGCTGACACTATTATAATGCCAACCGAAGCCACAATGTCAAAGATAATAATGCGTACGGATAAACATGTTAATGCATATATAATGTCAAATATGTAAGTGTATAATTTCACATTACCAGATCACTAATCAAGTAGTATTGAAGCAGAAATCGGCCAGCATACCCGGGACTTCCTCGGTCTGAGGATTAAACCCAGACGAACAAACCCTCATTGATGAAATCAATTGAACTCTCACTTCCGATTTCCCAATTCAACAAACAACAAATCTCAACAACTTGATCAGGAAGAAATCAAATCAAATCATATCAAAGCAATTGCAGAGCTAGTTGAGCAATATAACCCCACACTCCTCGCTCAAAGCAGCGAGCTCAAACAGTAGAAACACATTAGAGTAATATTCATATAAATCAAAAGCACTTCTAGAATGCTTCACTGTATGTGTTTCAGTGCTTCACACACCTTAAGATCAATAGAATTGGTCAATTGGACAATAGTTCAAAAAAAAAATATGCCGTGAGGAGCAACAGTGGAGGCGCATAAGGCTGATTTGAATCATCCAAAGAAGATGAGGAGACCGTACAATGCGCTAAGGGCGGCGTGCGTAGATCTCTATTTTTAGTTTTCATTTATTTTTTATTTTACTCCTATTTTGGGTATATAAGTTTGGAACTCCTACTTTGAGTATATGATTAATGATTTACTCCTATTTATGGAGTTTTCTTTATCTTTTTTTCTGGGACTTCAAGTACTTTGGGTACAAGACGAGTCCATTATGACGAGCTCGTACGTACGGCAATTGAGGGGTACTGGTTAACCCTGTGGAACCTTGTGAACCGTAGTTCACATACTAGAAATCGTTTGATAATTTTAGAAAATATAATTTGTATCTGTATGTGTTTCATTAACTTCTTTGAATCCATATTTCAAATTTAACACATATTATATTTTACTCTATATACGTAATTTAAAAATAATACATAGAGTATTTTATATTTGCTTCAAAGCTATCTTTTTTTTCTTACTCAAAACTTATTAAAAACTTCCTTAGCATGTAGAGAAATAGTTTTAGGCATAGAATGTAAAAGGATCTTGTCACTTGGAGTTGGTCGTTTCCTGTGACCTTCTCCGACGAGGTAACTTTGTTTTTATGTTTAAAACCTAATTTTTCTTCTTTTTATCATCAAAATACTTTTTATAAAACATATATAAATAGTTTTGACGTAAAGATTTGTACAAATTGTATGCCGCTATCGTGACCCATTTTCCGGTTGCCTTCTTTAACGGTATTCAAAAATTTGTTTCAAAACCTTTTTTTCTCTTCGCATACCCTTATATAATCTTTATATAATCCTTTTGGGAAATATTTTAGACAATTTGGACGTAACACATGTTTAAAGTAAAAGTCGGCAGTTTTCCCGATTATTAGTGACGGAAATTAAATCAATTGAATATATAACAAATATAGCATATATTAACGTATTATATTAAGTAACAATTGTTATACGGGCGGCGGCACTCACCTTGTACTTGAAACAAGTTCTCAAAAATAGAACTTTTATTTGATCGATCAAGTCGTTGTTTGCTCCGGCAATTTAGATGTTAATCCTATCACAGCTACTACTTATGGTATTGTTAGTATAGTACGGAGTACTAAAGAGTAAAATGTTTGGTAGTACTTAATATCTTAACTTGTACTCCGTATTAACTAAAATTCATAGGAGTGTAGTATTTGTAGATAATATAGAGTATATGTACGGTGTATGTAGTATATTCATGACAATAGACTAATGGCTTGTTTATATATATAGTCGTGACTCGTGAGAGTGAAGACTTCATGGTTAAGAAAACAAAGTGCAGCTCCTTTGATTTTTTTTTTTTTTTAGAAACTAGAGAAGATAAGGTTTAGAGAAGATAAGGTTTCTTTATCTCTTAGAAATAGGTCGGTCAAGGATAAGGATAAAAATTGTTTTGCTCCAAAGTTAGTTTATTGATTATTTTTTTTTTTCAATTCTAATTTATATCATTAGTATTATCTTTTTTTTTGAATTGTACAAAAATAATAACTTATAAAAGTTTTTATAATAATTAATCTTCAAACTACTAGGCCCATTCTCAGGGCGTTACACGATCACTTTCTGTAAGCATTACACCAAGTGAGACTAGATTGGACGGAAGGAAAAGACATTTTATTTATTACCGTCACATAATAACAATAATACATAAAGTACTTTGTTATAAAAAAGAAACACAAGATAGAGGCCGGGGTAACATTTTTGGAAATGGCGAGAAAACGAAAGTAGAAATTAAAGGAAAGCAATTAGAGAAGAAAGTACAGTAATTAGGGCGGGAAGTGTAAATAAAGCTCATGAAACAAACACACACACACATATAAGGGTTGAGTGGAGGGTTAATAATAAATTAAAGCTTGTTCATATCATCCCTTGGAGCTAGCTAGCTAAGCATGGTATGTTTATAGTGTCCTCTACACGGTATTGTATCACGGTCACATTAGCACCAAAACGGACCGGTAAGTTTGTTATAGCACACTGAGAATGTTCTCAGAGACGCGAGGCCGGCGGGACAGGTCGGGTATTTTGTCCGTATTCTAGGTTTATAACAGTTGACTGAAATTATTTTTAATTCAATTTATTTTATAATTAGACTTAAATTTTTTAAAAAATAACAATAATAATAACATTCTTTGATCCCGAACTAGGTTGTGTGAAAGAAGAGATAACATGACTATTATTTTATCAAATTGATAACAAAAATATAAAATGAAATAAATAAAATTTGACTATGTGAACAATAAATATATAACTTAATTTACAACAGAGGGAACATATATTCTTGGTTCATATATATTCCTTTTTTTATTTACAAAAATGCATCAATTTTTTTATTCACTCCTAAAAATGATTTGATTTAGTCTAGTTTGATCTGATTATAATAAGAATAAGTAATAAGCAGAAAAAATAAGTTGAACAGAACGCTGTCTTAGGCTTAATTTTCCTTTTCAATGTTCCCTCCATCCCCATTGACAAAGTTTGATTTTTTTTGGTTAAACACTGATACTTTTTTGAACGTGAATTATGAAAAAAAAGTATATTAGTAATAATATAAATTTAGGAAAATTAAATATATAATTATTAAATATATAATTTTTATTTGTAAATTTCATACTCTCTCTGTTCCCAAAAGATTATTTAGTCTTTATAGATTTACTTTTTTGTGCTCAATCTATATTATATTTTGACCATTAATAAATACATTTTTAAAATATATAAATGTTATAAAAATTTCAATCATCAAAACTACATCTTATTAAAATCAAGTCAACTATAGTAATGTTACATTATAAGTAATTGTATCGTATATACTTTTCGATCTATAATTTATGTTCAAAATTTGTAAGAATTAACAAAAATGAACAGAAAAAAATGTTTAATAATGTATCATTTTTGAAATAAAATAAAGTCAAACATGTGATCCATACATACTTTCTCTATCCGACAAAGAACTTTTCATTCAGCATTCACACGATGAGACTTTAATCAATTCGGTTTCGTAAAAATTTTTCTCTAGTTTTTTAATATAATCATATAGCATCTTGTTTTATTAACTTTTTTGATCTAATTCTTAAATACGGAATATGTAACTTTTAGTGTTAAAGTTTACACTTATATATAATCAAATAAATTAAATAATAAATAGTTTCAAACCAATTTTATAAACCAAAATGAAAAATTCATTTCGTATTGTACCCTTAAAGTTACACCAAAAGTATACACTAATGTTTTGATGTGTGACACTGACACAAAATGCTAGTGCATTAACAGAAATTTGCACTAGTATTTTGTGTGTATGTAAACTATGATCACACTGACACAAAATGAAGGTAAATCTTGAGATACGGCTTAATATAAAAATAAAAAACGTATAGGATAGTGCAAAATGGGGTAGTGAACAAGAATGAAATGTGGAAACAAACAGATGGAGCCTTGACTCTGGACCGGCTAGACATGACATCGTCGTCCTCCTAATCACGGCGGGCATGTTCCAGTTATACCGGCATTTCCCTCTGTTTTGATCACTTCCTCATCTCCGTAGTCGCCGGTAGTCATTGGCGGGACACAGCCGGAGAGCTGATTGTAAGAAAGGTCGAGTTCGGAAAGATGGGTCAAACGCGTGATGCTCCTAGGAATAGTTCCCGTCAGACTGTTTTCCGCCAGGATCACATTTTCCAGCAAAGTGAGGTTCACCAGTGATTCCGGCACCGGACCGGTAAGGCTATTATTGCGCGTGTATAGGTTTTTCAAGGACGCAAGGGGAGAAAGGTCGGGTATTTCGCCGGAAAGCTGGTTTTCAGAAAGGTCGAGTGTTGAAAGATTGGTCAAACCCGTGATGGTCGGAGGAATAGCTCCGGTCAGACTATTACCCGCCAGATCCACTTCTTGCAAAGTTGTGAGGCGGGAGAGGTCCACTTGTTGCAGCGATGTGAGGCGTGAGAGATCGGGCATTTCGCCGGGAAGCTGATTAGAAGAAAGGTCCAGTGTGGTAAGACTGGTCAAGCTCGTGATGGAAAGAGGAATAGGTCCGGTGAGTTGGTTACCCGACATGCTCAAAACTTGCAGTGATGATGGGATTTGCGCCAATAATTCCGGCAAGGAACCGGTAAGGTCGTTATAGTCCAGGTCGAGTTCTTTCAAAGACGTGAAGCGGGACAGGTCGGGTATTTCGCCGGACAAATGATGTTCTGGGTATCCTGCGCTCAACCGGAGAGTCTCCAGAGTTGCCGGAAGCTGGGAAGGGATAGGCCCGGACAAACTATGACCCGAGAGATCAAGAAAGCGTAAGAAGGGGAAGTTTTCCCCGGTGAGAAATTCCGGTAATAAGGTGCCTTGCACGTTAGAATTGACTGCGGAGAAAGAGAAGAGATTCCGAGCCGCCGTGAGACTCTCCGGGATGTTCCACGGCGAAAGGTAAACGTTTTGGTCGAGAGAGACTACCTCCAATTTGGTCAAATTAGCGAAGAGATCGGACGGGATTGAGGTGAACTTGTTGAGTTTAGCGTAGAATTCACGGAGGGAGTGGAGTGATCCGAGGCCGGCCGCCGTGAGGGTGCCTCCGAGGAAGAAACTCTCGACGTTGACCTTCCAAACCCGGCCGGTGACGTCGCAAAATATCCCATTCCACCCGCACGGGTTCGTGCGGTTCCAAACGGATGATCCCGTCGGGAACACAAGACTGGCCTTCAGATTCTGCATTGCCGCATCGTCGAGGCACTCCGGACCATCATCCGCCGCAATGGTAGTAAAAACCGCCGCGAGCAGGAGGAGCAGCCATGTTGACGACGCCATGTATACCATACTCCGTACAACACACCCACACTTTTTTATTTAACTAATAAAAACTCGTGTTCCACTTTGAATTGCCAGGAAATATTATACGGGATATATATATATATATATATATATATATATATATATATATATATATATACACACACACACACACATATACACATACATACATATACATGTGGTCTATGGAACTACAAAGTACATACTTTACTTTTTGACATTAATCAACCATAATCTAATTTATTTCTTCTCATTGACTGTCCATCCGGGACTGAAAGAGCTATCGAGATGGGGCTCATCGTTAGATCACTTCCTGTACGCATTTTTAAAAAATGTGTAAAATGGTGAGAATGTATTGCAGCAATACCCATGGTTTCAAATATCGGTCATTACCCCTCATTATTTTGTTATTTCTACGTCAAAATTCTTCTAGACTAAAATAACTTTCAAATCTTATGTCAATAGTTTTGCTACCGCATATAATTTTAGAAATATAAACGAACGCCCCCACTCTTTTTTATTTATTTATTATTATTTTTTTTACTTCTCTTTTTTGAATAAATGTTTGTAAGTTATGTCTCAAAATTATTCTTTATTAAATTTTTAAAAAAATAACTTTTTTGCTGTTGGAAATAAAAAATGGAATAAAAAAATTAGCATGTACTTCATTTTTCTCAAATTTCGGATTGATGCCCAATAGATTTTTTTTGTGATATATATATATATGTGTGTGTGTGTGTGTTTGTGTGTGTGTGTATATATATATATATATCGGCCCGGTTCCAGTGCCACTGGAATCCGGTGCCACTCCGGTGCCACTGGCATTTTGGGGCACCTCTGGTGCTCCGTTCGCAAAATTGACGGTTCCTACCCCCTCTAACCCACCCCCTAAACCCTCCACCCTACCCCCGCCCCTGCACCCCCACCCCAACCCCGCCGTAAGCCCCCCACAAAATGTGTGGCTATTATGCGTTGCATAATAGCCACACATTTTGTGGGGGGCTTATGGCGCGGTTGGGGTGGGGGTGCAGGAGCGGGGGTAGGGTGGGGGGTTTAGGGGGTGGGTTAGGGGGGGTAGGAACCGTCAATTTTGCGAACGGAGCACCGGAGGTGTCCCAAAATGCCAGTGGCACCGCTAGTGGCACCGAATTCTAGTGGCACTGGAACCCCACCCATATATATATATATATATCAAATTAACTTTGAACATTTTTTAAACCAAAGCGAGGGTAATACATTTTTCAAAAAGAATGAATATTCAATGCACGAAGAAAAAGACATAAAAGAAATACTACTTCCGTCCCAGAGTATTTGTCCACTTTAATTTTTACACACCATCCAATACATTTCTTTAATCCATTTTATCTTGTAATTTGTATATTAAAAAATTATAGAAATTATATATT